AATGCATGTAGAAAGTCAGAAAGCGACTACAGTACCCTGAAGGCGTCCAAACGCACAAAAGATTAAGTTATCCCTGTGCTTCAGCACAATGACAGGAAGCCGTACGGGGAATGCAGATAAAGCTTCATGCAGTTAATAATTTCCGCAGTAAAGGGAAGTAAACGGTCAGCATTATTTCCGAGGAAAGAACCCACGGAAGCTGGTTGACAGGAGGTTGGGCTGGGCCCAGAGCCAGTCTAGACGCGGCGGTGAGAAGGAAACCTGGCTTTTCAGATGAAACAAATCAGTAACACAGATTAATTTTTGCGGAACTAAACGACTAGTCAGACCTAGCAGCCAACATTTATACTCATGAAGCGGGTGGCACCACTGGCCCACAATGATCACATTAACAAATTTTACTAACCCATCGGCTTGGAGCCGCGCCACAGCTCAAGCGGTTAGTCGCTGGCTTCTCACCGCGGCGGCCCGGGTTCGATCTCGGGCCATATCAAGTGGGATTTGTGGTGGTCAAGTGGCGCTGGTGCAAGTTTTCTCAGAGTACTTCGGTTTCCCCTCCCAATTTTCATTCCAACAATTGCTCCACAATCACCCTCACCTATTATCTGGGACTGGTACAATAGGCCAGAAGTGGCCACAGTGCAATGGACTTAGTCCCACCCCACTAGCAATAAAAAAACCATCGGCTTCATAGAAGCAAAATAATCTGATCTTTGCTTCCGCTGTATAAAACAATAAATCATACGAGAGTTCATCGTTTAAGATTTCAGAATGTCATCTTACATGTGTTATTTTGGCCAATGACACCATTTGCACAACTACATACCTCTTTCTAAAAGAGCTGTTCTTTAAAAACCGAGCGTCGTTATGACGTAAAAAAAGCAGTAAGATTTTATGGAACTCGAAAGTTCATTACAGTATTCACAAGAACCTTCCGCTGGACCCTATCCAGCACAATTTCAATCGAATACCTCACACTCAATTTCCTTTTAAATATTATCCTTCAATCTATGCCTATTTCTCTCAAATGGTTTTCAAACTAGCTTTTGTGAGCCTCCCTCATCTCCCCAGTATATTCCTATGTCTCGCCCATCCGATACACACCTTACAGTTCGGTGAAAAGTATAAATGATGAAGTTCCCATTATGTCATTTTCTCCATCATCTCTCCTATACCCTGTGTTTGTGTTGTCCTGTGTTTAGGTGGAGGCAAACAGAGGGTACACAAGTGTTATGTGATTCTCAGATTCTTGGCAATATCGACAGGGTGTGCGTTTGCTGTGAAGCAGCAACTGAATCTTTAAGTATTATTTACACGATTTAGTCAAATAATTCTATTAGTTATTTACACGAATTTAAGTTTTTCAAAGGGTTAAGCCATTACAGATGGGCTTCCTTCATTCATGACTAGTGATCCTTCTGTCGTCACACACGTCCTGACTGATCTGCTGCATAACCACAACACATGCTCAAGTCAGTGGCCGCTCGATCGCGGTAGTTACAACACTCATCTGTCCTCCTCTGAATCTTTCCAACCATACTTAAAGTTCTCTCTGGTTCATAAAGTTATCGTCATAACGAACTGACACTCTTTCATGTATAGAATGTGCTTTTAATTTCTTATTGACATGGAATGATTTGAACAACATAAAAAAGCGTTGAAATACATTTTTAGTATGAAACATATTCCTCGTGTCTTTTAAATTGTTGCATTATTGACGGATACTTTGATAATAAATAATTCTTTCATGAATTTCACAAATTTTCACATCATCTGATAATCAAATTGGGATAACACGTACTGTCCTACTTTGTTATACTCTATCAACAGAGCAGACACGTTAAAACATCATATCATCATCTCTACTCAGAAGGCAATTACATACAAATTACATACCACTTACACCCGTTCAATCTCTGTTGCCACTTCTGAAGCAAAATAAAGTTTCTTTTACCTTTTCCTCTTCCTTGTACATGTTTTATGGAATGTCCTGTACAAGACACATACAGGCGCCACGAGCTGCGACCACGCTAAATAATGATCGATTCTCCTACGCAGGAATAGTAAGGCTACACCACTGGATGAAAGACCCTTCCAACTGGGCTGCGGAGAGGCGTCTACGTGTTATTGACGTATTACAAATACTGGGAGTACGTAGGCCCTATTGTATGTGTAAGTGGAGAGCCCCAGCATTAAAAAGAGAAGTCACAAGAGATCCAGTTTCCCAGATAGGCAATCTTTAGACAAGGCGTCTTTATGATGTTTATCTAGAACGTATTTTTACCACAAAGTCCTAGACGTCTATCAAGCCGGAATTCCTTAATACAAACTAAATTATCCAAGCTCGAAAAGGCCGCGCCATAGTTCAAGCGGTTAGTCGCTGGCTTCCCACAGCGGCGGCCAGGGTTCAAACTCGGGTCTGGTCGAGTGGGATCTATGGTGGATAAAGTGACGCTGGGGTTGGTTTTCTCCGAGTACTTCGGTTTCCCCCGCCAATCTCCATTCCACCAAATTCTCCATCTACATAAACACCCGGAGCAGGTACAACAGGCCAATCAGTGGCCGCCGTGCCAAGTGGACCCAACTGGACTCCACCCGCCCCCATGCGAATTAATTAATTAATCCAAGCTCGAATGATACCTAAATGGATTCAGTAAATGTGGCACATTTAATTCTAAAGAATCTGGAAGTTCGTTACGAAGAATCAGCATCGCAACGCAGCCAGTCCATCCAGGTCTACTTCATCCATAAATTTAATTTATACTGAGAGGTTTATCTTCAGGAGTTAAGTTCACTGGACAGCTAATGCAAGAAATCAAACAGCTCTCACCCTTCTATCTTGCTTCCAAAGGATACATAAAAAAAGTAATACATATGTACTCGTATGTATACATCTTGTCCTTAGAATAAAAGTAGTTGAGACAGTACAGTGAAAGTTTTCACTTTTCCTTTGGCTTCTACGTTTGTTGCTCTATAAAATAATGGAAAACAAAGTTCCAATAGGTCTACAGAATTTCACAGACATCCTACTATGAGCGGTCTGATACTTAAACCACTATGCCAGGAGCCGAGACACAGCAATTGGAGGATGAGTTCACAATGGAAACACTAACTTATAAGTGCGTGTATACTTTAAATATAATTAATTAATTTTGGATGATGGTGCTAATGGTTACCACTATCGTCATCAATTTCATCAATCATCACTTAACACACTTGATAGTGGTAGCTTCCTCCAACTTCCAGACAAGTTACCCAACAAACAGAACATTTGTCACAATCGTGTTACTACTACAAATGTCAGCATAGTGAACAGACGACCGAAGAACATTGGTTCGATCCTCGGCCGGTACAGAGTTTTTATTTTCACCATAGTGTCCAGAACACTCTGGGGCCTACGCAGCCCCTTCCAATGGGAGGCAGAAACTCTTTTTCACGGGGGTAAAAAGGGGCGTGGCTATAACACATCCCCATACTCCTTTACGGTGTGGTGGTAAATTAAGCACAGGGACAACTTTATCATTATCTTCTTCTCTAATCTTCTGATTACCATGGACAACAATAAAACGCGTTTACTGATTGCTAATGCACATCTGCAGAAGCAAACAATACCGGTCCAATAAGATCAGTATTCCCAGCTGTCCGGGGGGGAGATTATAGAAAGAGCAACTGGCGAATAGGGTTTAAGTCCCATAACAGAACCAAAATAAGCAGCATGGTTTTTTTTTGTACGTAGAAACAGACGAAATTGAGAAATGTTACATAATTAGTGATCTTCCACTCATTCCTCCACTTAATGCAGTAAATGTCTGGCACGAAATTCCAACACAGTACAATAAGAATCTTATCGTACTTATCTGCGAATATGCAACACGAGCAGCAGCCATTTGTAGTACTTGTTAATTCATTACATAACATAACATACATATTCAGAAATGGTAAACTACGTAGAGCACCGGCATGAGCAGGCAATTCCGTTTAATGTNTCTTATCGTACTTATCTGCGAATATGCAACACGAGCAGCAGCCATTCGTAGTACTTGTTAATTCATTACATAACATTACCGGCAGAAGTATCGAGCATGTACATAATGTCGCATAATTATTCATACAAAATAAACATTCAGCACAAGAGTTACGGCATATTCAGAAATGGTAAACTACGTAGAGCACCAGCGTGAGCAGGCAATTCCGTTTAATGCTACTGGAAGTACGGCAAACATAAGGATGGAATGCCAGGACCTTCAATCCTTTTGTTGTCAAGACACATTTCATTCACGCCAGTACCTGGATATGTTAGGAAAGTACGATATATCTAATATTCAAGATGCTGAACTACCAGGCATCTGTTTCTGCCGACAATATTGTCCTTCTTCCTCACTGGGCACATGAGGGACACAACCTCTTGTATCTATTGTATTTGGTGATAACCGCTATGAAGGGGAAATGCAATACTATTGCTTCCAAATTCCCAGTATTACACAGTGTGTTGTCACGTTAAGGCAGGGTCTACACGAGCGCACAAAACGCGTCCGTTGTAACGAACGTACTTTGCTGAGGACACCACAGTTGCAGAATGCGGTGCGTAGTTTTTTGTCTGCAATGGAGCCAGAAGAAAGCGTAGCATTTGCCTCTCTTGTTTATTTCTACAACGGACGCATTTTGTGCGCTCGTGTAGACGCTGCCTAAAAGCATTCTGTATGGCCAACAACCCCACTCGCTGCGCGATGTCAACGCAAAATCTGTGACATCTTCCTCGCCACGCAGCGATGCTTGCCAACACATGGCAGGCACACAGACACGCTGTGCTGCTATGACCTCCGCCGGTTTCGACAAAGCAGACTAACTATTACTTCTCGGCTCAGTTAATATTCTGTACATTTTTTGTTTGTATTTCTGAACACACAGAGGTTTGTAACATATGTTTTAAATTCCGGATAAATAATACAGACATTCTGTATATCTGATGCTACTTAGCGAGCATGGCAAAAGCTACTCACCCAAAGGCACGGGAATGCCTGGCGTGGGTCCGTTCGGAGACGTGGGGTGAGGCAGACCCGCTGGTGACGACAGAGAACTCGGAGGGGACGACTTCTCGCTCAGAAGCGACGCCTCGGACGGGTATTCAAACGTCGTAGTGGCCGCGTCGTCGAATTTAATTCGGAGCTACAAAGATAATACATTACTTATAGATAAGAGGCATACAAAATACAACGAATTTTTCAAATATATAGCGGCCAGCAGTCGTATGTCATTTTGCTGAGGCTAGCATGATTTTGGATGGTGCGTAATTATCTCATTTTAAAACGAAGTATACGTTTCCGGCCGAGTTATTTTTAAGATAAACAGCACGGAAATAATTACATTGTTTATGTCTTATTAATGTCTGAAACTACGTGCGTATCATATTGTCCGTCATCAGCAACACACATAATAACAGGGTATTTTAGCCAGTCAATTGACATGTAAAAGTCAACGCTCTGCAAGAAATAAACTCTGAATTATTCCTGTCATTGAATTCTGGACTTAAAAATGAAAAGATGTGATCTGAAGAATCTTTTCTTTCATTTGAAATTGCGGAGTCGAGTAATGACAAGACTTGAAAAAATACGAAATAGACTGTTGCATGCATTAAATCGTATATGGTTGCAGACACAGACGCGCGCGCGTGTGTGTGTGTGTGTGTGTGTGGGGGGGGGGCGGATTCCCCAATGACGTTTGTCAAGAAAAGGGAGTGAAGAATGTGCCATGACATGCTAAATTAGAATTCGACTTCTAAACTGAAAAGAACCCCTACAAATCCAGCATGGTATCTTAGTTTGCTTGCTACCAACTGTCGACTGCATTTATGCCAGCATAAAGCAGCGGGTCTGAAGCAAAAACTTGTCGTGGCTGCATTCAGTTTAAATATCATTCTGACCTGGATGTAACCAAACAAGTTTCACGAAACCATAATTGTACATATTGTTTTGTATGGATGCGAAACTAACCCTAAGAGAAGAGGCCGCGCCATAGCTCAAGCGGTTAGTCGCTGGCTTCCCATCGCGGCGGCCCGGGTTCGATCCCGGGGTCTGGTCAAGTGGGATTTGTGGTGGACAAAGTGGGGCTGGGGCAGATTTTCTCCGCAATGACCCTCACCTATCATCTGAGGCTGGTACTACAGGCCAGAAGTGGCCGCAGTACAAGGGACTTAGTCCCACCCTACTAGCAATAAAAAAACCCTAAGAGAAAAACACCGATTAAATATGTTGTGAATAAAATACTGAGGAAAATACCTGTACCTAAGACAGAGGAAACAACACGACAAGGAACGTCATTACTTTTCACCAGTTATCGTGGTGATGAATTGAAGCAGGCTGAGCAGACCGGGACATGCACTTTGGCGAAAACTTTGAAGGGAAGAGACTATTCGGTAACCCGGGCGTCGATGAAAGATTACAAAATATTGTATGATATAGGCTGGATTCATCTGGCTCAGTGGTGGGCTCTGCGAACATGGTAACGAACTCCGTACGTTCCATACCAGACAGGAAATTTATTGACCAATTGGGAGCCTGGGGCCATCTGAAGACCGTCTCTGCTCCACGGCGTTAGCTAAATCAGATGCGCACGTTTCGAAATAAATAAGGACCTTCGATCAATATGCATATCAAAACATTCAGGACGAATTTCATGTTACCTCGTGGCTTCTTATACTGTCCATGATAAGCGATAAGACGCGAGACGTCATTAAGTTATCGAGATATGTCACTATTTATAATACGCATTGCTCCTGTCATGCGTGTTGTCTGGGGTACAACATGTACTGTTCTGAAAGGAATTCGCTCATTTTCGAAATGCAACTGTTTAATGTCCCGCTATGTTTGGCAAAGAGAGAATAACAACAGGTCTACGACCTCACCCGTCATGCGAAGAGTTCATGCATGAAGGACCAACTTAATGAAACAAATTTCGTTTCTCTGTTACTTAAAATTATTTCATAATTACCTTTCACATATATTACACCAGAAAGTGGCATCATGTATGAACATACTTGTATCAACCCAAGTTAACATTGATATCCTCTATACCCTTTAAAGGCTAGGTGTTTCGCAGTGAAACCATCCGTGAATTCCTCCTCCTTAGCTACTGACACAGCGATTTAAATAACAGACCACCCACAGTGGAATGCCTGTACGGTCAACGTGTTCAAAATTCATGGTCATCAAACGTGAAACAACATATGAAACAAAAAGTAAATTTTAAGTTAATTCATTCTTCAAAGTGTCAAATGCACAAGCAAAATAACTCACGACAGGAATGCAACTGCTACGCCCACACAGCGGGGGATTTGCAGATAATACTGAGGCACATTTCTAAAACAAGAGATGTACGTACATACTTCGAATGCTTAAACGCGGACAACAACCCCATGAAGCCGATCCCATATTAAAGTAAATATAAAAAGTGGCGGCCCGGGTTTGATCCCGGGGTAACTGTGACGTTTTTATCTCACAGGTGGTAATGACGCCATACTCGGTGAAGTTGTCCGAATCACGGCTGTGTCTTTGGTGAGGACGCATCATGGACAAGGGATGCGTTGGGACACCTCCTCGTGGTCCCTCCGGGCAACGACAGCCCCGTTCCGGGGCTGGCGGCTAAGTTCCGATAAAGGGCGATGGCTTTATGACCGGAGCCTCCCACGCGGCGGTATAATGACTCTTGGGTTTCACTACGATGTACCCGGAACGAACGCGGGAGAGCGCTCCTATGGAGGTAGCTTCGAATATTTGAGTTGCCTCCCTAGGGTACCAATAAGGTGCCGCAAGCCTCAGGGCTCAACACCCTAAAACGGTTTGACCAACCCATGTGGAGGGGTGGGAATGGGGGAACTCATAAGTTACGCCCAGGGGCGACTCTCTCATGTAAGATGCACTGGTCGCAACCTCATGACCAACTGGCGCCGCACTCCCATTAATAATCTGGGATACCCCTCTGCCCTCATCAGGCACTTTTGGTCCTGGAGGCTTGTGAGGGTTTCATTTACTACAGGACCAAACCACCTAAGCCAAGGTGGGAGACACTGTGCTGACGGCTGCATGGCATTGGGGTCGTAATTAGCCAGTGTCCTGAACGATCCCCTCGGGGTACCAGACAGCACCCCGTTGTATTTATGCCTTCCACCCGTATGGGGCGCTGCGGGTGGCGACCTTTTAAATCCCCAAAACTCGTGGGATCAAAATGAAAGGAACCAAAAACAAAACCGGTCGTAAGGACCTTAAACTGAAGAGGGACCCCCCTTCCAAGGGGATCCCTACCAGACATGCTTCAGCAGGGTGCTGGAAGCTCTGGTGAACCACTATGGGACCCAGGTTTCAAGGAAACTTATCCTGAGGACAAGCTTACCGAAGATGACCAGAATTCCATTTTGGAAGCACTGGGAGAGGTTACGTAGGACTCCAAAGGGAGAACTACCACACCTGAAATCCTTTGGACTAGTGGGAGGTGCACTTATATATGCATGTGCATATATCTGGTCAATGGCTCACCAAAGACTCTGACAACCCAGGCTGGAATCAGGGGCCAGGCTGAAGACTACTGACGCCAGGAACCTGCCCAAGCCTGTTAAAGTGGATCGCCGGATTAGGGACTAAGTTGCCCAGAATCAGGAAGAGCTGCTGAAATGGATTGCAGACCTCAATCCAGGACTTCATACGGAGAACTGGTGGGTACTAGATAAGCAATCAGAGTCGAAATGCCAAAGGCTTATCTTATTCATAGACCGGGACTTTATACTATTATACAGAGGACCGGTTACAAAATATTCACAGGGGACTGTTAAGGTGCTGAATGATCCTGAAGATCAGCGCCGGGCAGAACCTGTGTCAGATATAGTATCATCCAACTCGGTCTCTGAAGGGGAAGGGGATGATGTACCCACTCCCTCAGTTGACCAGAAGAGAATATCTGATGAGAAGGAGACCAAAACGAGAAGGCTGTTTAATACAACTAAAAGAACAGGGCAGTGGGACACCTTCAAGGAAGCCCTTACCTGTTACAACAAAGAAATAAGGAAAGCCATGCGATCCTCGTGGAGGAGGCACTGCCAGGAGATAAATGATGTACCAGGCGGTGACAGACTCATGAGGATCATGGCAAAACAGACGAGCAACAAGGTCAGCACGATTAAGCTGCCTAACGGGCAGTATACTCAAACAGAAATGGAGACATTGAATGAATTATTCAGGGTTCACTTTCCTGATTCAAAATTGACTGATAATTTGAAAGACGGACAGGGTCAGCGAAACCTGGGCACTTGCCAAAGCAAAACGAACAGGACAGACTGCAACCTGGCAACAGTCATAATTAACCAATCAGATGGGCACTGAATACCTTTAAACCATTTAAGTCAGCGGGAACAGATGGAAATGTACTTTTGCAGCAAGGGGCAGAACTCTTAGTTCCACACCTATGCCTCATATATAGAGCCTGCATAGCATATGGTTTTATCCCCACGGCATGGAGGCAAGTTAAGGTGACATTTATCCCAAAGCCCGGAAACTAGATTACACCGAGGCTAAGGCTTATCGTCCTATCAGGCTGCCGTCTTTCCTTTTGAAAACGATAGAGATAGTGGATAGGCAAGTCAGGGACGGGGTGTTGAGGACATATCCTCTACACCGAAACCAGCATGCCTACCAAACAGGTAAATCTACCGAAAGCGCACTACATAATGTGGTAACACGCATAGAAAGTGCGATTGAACACAAGGATATTGCCTTAGGAGCATTCCTTGACATAGAGGGAGCTTTCGATGGAATCTCATTTGATATAATCAAACAGGCCGCTGGAAACCATGGCACAGAGCTTGCAATATGCAGGTGGATCAGTGCTATGCTGGAAAGCAGAGCCATAGCTGTCACACTATCAGGAGAGATCCTGGGGGCGTCTGCGTCTAGGGGGTGTCCGCAGGGGGGGGGGGCGTGCTCTCGCCTCTGCTGTGGAGCCTGGTCGTTGACGATCTCCTGTGGGGACTTAATGATGATGGGTATTATACAGTAGGCTATGCTGATGACACAGCAATTCTTATAAACGGAAAATTCCTTTCGACAGTATCAAAGAGTCTTCAAATTTACATTCAAATTCAAAAAGTAAAAGTATCCCTGTAACAGGCCATGGAGGCCCAC